CCCCCGCGGGGGGGGGGTGGGGGGGGCGCCCAACGGGAGCCACTCCTCCTCCTCCTCCTCCTCCAGGGCCAGGGGTTGGAGCCTGGCCTGGCCCTGCTCCCTCAGGGTCGTAGAGCAGGCTGCGGTGCAGGGAGCCACGATCAGAGCGGTCGCTGAGGTCCACAGAACCGTCACTGGGGGGCTCTATGGTGAGCAAGGGCAGGTGGGCTCCCCGTAGTCGGAAGTCACGGCAGTCCAGGCAGGGGGGGCCAGGGCCACGGCGTGGGCCAGCCCCACCCTCCCAGTATTGAGGAGGGAGAGGGGCTTGGGAGCCTGAAGGCGGGGCTTCAGCAGCAGCTGGAGGAGGGGCCTCGCTGGCACTGGGGGGCCGCTCAAGGCTGAGGGAGGAGCCTGGCAGCCCCTCGTCCAGGTAGAGGGTGACATCAGAGAAGGAGGTAGCTGCGCTGTCGCCCTGTTGCTCTCGTGACTCGCTCTTCTCCAGGCAGGGGGAGCCACTGGCCCCACCACCAACCCCGCCCCCAGGTTCAGGATGGCAGTTCAGCGCCTCATCGATGGATTCAGCCAGAGCCTTCACCTGTGGGGAGGCGCAGACAGCAGGGAAGGGTTGGGCATGGCCTCTTGGGGAATCCCTGCCCCTTCCTGGACAGTACCAACCCCTTCAGCTCGGGACTGTAGAACCATAAACCACCTACAGTCTAAAATGTCCTAAGCCCACCCCCTTATAGCCCAATGCTGAGCCTGAAGCCCTGCCTGTGCCCAGAAAGCCCCACCCTCTTCTAAAAGTACTAGCCATAAGTCCCACCCATGCCTAGAAAGCCCCACCCCCAATGGAACGCTCTACCTCCTACTCCCTAGAAGCACCATGCCATAAGCCCCACCCCCTCTTGCCTTGAGCCGCTGAGCCATAAGCCTCATGGCTAATGGTTGACCTCTGGGATACCGAGTGGGGTCCCTGAATCTGGGAGGATTTTAGTGGTGTCTGTGAGCTCTATGGTAGTTGGGTGGGGCTAGATTTTGAGGGGGTCACTAGATTTGGAGAGCATGGGGACAGTTTTGGGGTCCATTGGAGGTCTGAGGGAGGTCTGTGAGTTCTGGGGGAACCCTAGATTTTGGGGTGTCTAGGGGGGGATATCTGGGTTTGAGGGGCTCAGGGGCACCTGTGAGTTTTAGGAAGGCTGAGGAAGGGCCCTGGATTTCAGGTTGTCTAGGAGGATCCCTGGATTTTGGGGTGTCCCAGGAGAATCTGAGAGCTCTGGGTTTTCTGGGGGTGGGGCTCTCTGTATTTAAGGGGCCACTATGGGGAATCCCTGAATTCTGGGGCATCCCTGAGGGAGCTTGCAAATATTGGGGCATCTGGGGAGCTCAGGGGGGTCTGTGAGTTTTGGGGGGCCAAGGAAAGGTCCTGGATTTCAGTGTCCAGGTTCATCCCTGGATTTTGGGGGATCCCTGGGGGGTCTGTGAGCTCAGGGCTTTCTGGGAGGCTCCATGGATTTGAGGGGCTCTAGGGAGGGGCCTGTGAGTTTTGGGGTATCTGGGGAGGAGTCCCTGGATTTTGGGGGATCACTGGGGGGTTCTGTGAGTTCTCGAGTGTCTTGGGGGGCCCACTCAATTTGAAGGGCTTGAGCACTGCACTTCAACAAGGATGTGGAAAAACTTGAGAGGGCCCAGAGAAGAGCCACCCTTATATCAGGGACTTGCAAGACAAGCCATACGAGGAGAGGCTGAGGGACTTGGGCCTCTTCAGCCTACATAAAAGAAGGCTGAGAGGGGACTTGGTAGCAGCTTACCACTACATCAGGGGAGTACATCAAGAACTTGGTGAACAGTTGTTCACCAGGGCACCCCTGGGGAAGACCAGGAGCAATGGATACAAACTCCTGGAAGGCTGCTTCAGGCTTAATACCAGGAAAAACTCCTTCACAGTCAAGGTGTCCAGACTGTGGAATAAACTCCCTCCAGTAGTGGTGTACTCACCTACCCTCGAAATCTTCAGGAGACTGGACAGTCACCTCACTGGGGTCACTTGACCCCAGTTGTCTTTTCCTGCTTAGTGCAGAGGGACTGGACCCAATGACCTACAAGGTCCCTTCCAGCCCCTAACAACCTATGAATCTATGAGAGGGGGATGTGAGTTTTAAGGGGCCTGGATTTTGAGGTGTCCCTTGGGGTTCTGTGAGTTCTGGGGTGCCTGGGGGGGCTCTCTGGATTTAGGGGGCCCTTGTGGGGGACTCCCTGAATTTGGAGAGCTTGGTTGGGTCTGTTAGTGTCCCGGGGTGGTCTGTGAGCTCTGGGGTGTCTGAGGGGATGGGGAATTCCTGGATATCAGGGGGATCCCAAGGGGGTCTCAGGCTATCAGGAGGTCCCAGGGAGGCTCCTCACCACCTACCTGCTTGGCGAAGGCCTCGTCCATCTCAGTGCCATTCCTGCAGAAGTCTCCAGCCGAGGCGGCCCCCCGCAAGCCCCCCCCTGGCCCAGGCCCCCCGCCGTAGGGCAGTGGCCCCCGGTCAAGGGGCAAGGGCCGGGCACCAGCCATGGTGCCTTCGTCCAGGGAGGCTGGCTTGCCCTGGAAGTAGGGGGCCGGTGGGGGGCCAGCAGGTGGGCCACGGTCATACTCCTCAAAGGAAAACTGCAAGCGCAGGTTGGACAGTGCCAGGCGTCGACCCCGGCTCTCAGCCCGCAGCCGCTGGAAGTTCTTAGTCATCAGGTACTGGCGGAAGGCAGTCTGGATGGTGCGAGCCGCCCGCCGGCTCCGGAAGTACCCACCATACTTGCGCTCCAGCATCTCCACCTGCCCCGGGAAGGGGCAGAGGTCAGAGGAGGGGGCACTGGAAGTCAGGATTAAGGGGTCCCAGGGGGAACAGGTCAGGGGACACAGTGTGTGCAGGGATGAAGTTATGAGGTCGGGGGGTACAGATCACCAGGGGTCAGGGTGAGGTGGTTCCAGGAGGCAGAGATCAGGGGACAAAGGTCAGAGGGGATAGGACATTAGGGTTCAGGGTCAGGCTAAGGCTAAGGGGACAAAGGTTGGGAGGACAGGGCACTGGCGTCAGGGGACAGAGGGCAGGGAGGGTGCAGAATCTAAGGATTCAGGTGACCCAAGGGCAGGGGTCAAGCTTAGGGGTCCCAAGGGACAGAGGTCAGGAAACAGAAGGCATCGGATGGGCAAGGTTAGGGAGTCAGGGAGGCAAAGGTCAGAGGTTGAGAGATCCTGGGGTGTAGGCAGAAGCCAGGATTCAAGGGGGTTAGGCAACAGAGATCAGGGGGCACAGGGTGCCGGTAGTACGGGTTAAGGAACAGAAGGGGGCAGAGGTCAAGGATTCTTGAGTTCTAAGGGTCAGAGGTCAGGAGTTACAGGGTCCCAAGGGTCCCAGAGGTTGGATGTCAGGGGTTGGGAATCCCTGGGATCAGAGGTCAAGGATGCAGGAGGTTCTCAAGGATCCCAGAGGTCAAAAGGCAAGGGTCACAGGTGAGGGGTCAGGTGTTCCCAGGACTCCAGGGAGTCAGAGATCAGGGATTCCCAGGGCTCCCAGGGATTGGCTCAGGGGTTCCCAGATTTTAAGGATCGGGGCCAGAGACTCCAGAAGCTCCCAGGTTCTGGATGTCAGAGGTTCCTAGTCTGCAAGGGTTTGGGGGTGAGATTTCTAGGGCTCTCGGGTCAGGATTTCCTGGGATTGCAATGGTGTCAGAGGTCAGAACTCAGAGGTTACCAGGGTTAGGGGGTCAGGGCTCCAGGATTTAGGGCTCCTAGGGAGTTGAAGGACAGGGGTTCCTGGGAATCCCAGGGGTCAGCAGTTCCCACACTCCCAGGGTTCAGGGGCCAGGTGTCTGGGATTTCCAGGCCTCCCAAGGGTCAGAGGTCAAGGGTTCCTGAGGTTCCCAGGGTTAGAAGTCGGGGGTCACCTTCTTGTCCTGCAGGTCGGTGGAGAGCTCATAGCTGTCAGACAGGGCCTTGGGGCGTTTGCTGTCCTCCTCCTGCTGCTTGCGCAGGGCCAGGCTGGCAGGCTGCAGCCGGGCGCGCTGGGCCCAGGGAAGGCCAGGGCCGGGGGCGGGGCCAGGGCCGGGGGCGGGGCCACGTGAGGGCCCCAAGTCCCCTCCCTTGCCTCCTTCGGGGCTGCAGTGGTAAGGCCCCGGCCCCCCGGCCCCCTCCCCCATGGCACCTCCCTCGCTGCTTGTCGGCTCCCCCTCCACACTGCAGAGAGATGGGGCATCAGCTGGCAAGAGGCACCTAGAATCTGTATTTAGAACCTGATCTAGAGCCCAGCCACACTGATCGTGAGCCGTAGAATTCAAGCCCCCTGCCCCATTAGCACACACCAGATCCCCTTCCACACTGTGATGAGAGCAGGGGCATCAGCTGGGGACAGGTGCTTAGAACCTGGATCTAGAAACCTATCCATCTAGAATCCAGACCTGCTTATCTAGAACTGTAGTATCCAAACCTCCTCCACCACAGGTCCCTAGCCCCCTCACTGCCTGCTGGCTCCCCCTCCATGCTGGAAAGGGGGCGGGGCATCAGCTGAGGAGAGGCACCTAGAACACAGATTTAGAACCTGGGTCTAGACCTGGTGATCTAGAGCTGTGGCATTCACACATACCGTGCTAGGTATATGTGAACTCTGAGCCCCCTCAATGCTGTGGAGAGAGCAGGGGTGTAAGTTGGGGGGAAGTGCCTAGAACCTGGATCAAGAACCCAGGTTCAGAACCAGGGCATTCACCCCCTGGTCGTCACCACCCACTGGCTCCACTCCACACTGCAGAGTGGGGACATCTATTGTGGTGAGGCAGCTAGAACCAAGATAGAGAACCCATATCCAGACCCACTGATCTAGAACTGTGGCGTCTGCGCTGCCCTGCCCCTTGCCGCCCACTACCTTCCCCTACACACTCTGAAAAGTAGGGGTGTCAGTTGGTAAGAAGCACCTAGAACCTGATCTAGAACCAAGTTCCAGACTGTGCTAACCTAGAGCTGTGGCATTCACATCCCCCGCTTGTCACCTGCTGGCTCCCACAACCTACCAAGGAGAGAACAAAGGCATCAACCGTGCCTAAAACCTGAATCAAGAACCGAGGTCTCAGGCCCACCTGATCTAGACCCATGACCTCCAATGCTCCTCACCCCTCCTCACAGCACCTAGAACCTCCTCTGGGCTCTGGAGTTAGAACCCAGAGCAACCCCACCTCTCCCATCAGCATGCCACCAATCTACAACCCACAAGGACCCACACCTCCCCAAAACACGGGCTTGCCGGATCTAAAACATGGATGCCCCACCCCCAAGCAATGGTGGTATGTTCTGCTGTAGAACCCATGTGGCCCTGATCTAAAAGCCAGGTGTCCCCAAACCAGTGCAGACCTCACACCCTGCATGAGAACTGCATCACCATCACATGCACATGAGACCCAGGCTTCCAGGACACGGACACACATGCACATACACACATAGAACCCAAGCATCCACAACACACACAGAGAAACCAGGCATTTGAAACACACACAGAGAGCCTAGGTGTCTGAGAAACACACATACACAAAACCCAGGCATCCAGGACACACACACAGACACGTGAGGGTTGGTGGGGGTTAGAGCAGGGGGCTGGGAGCCCAGATGCCTGGGCTCTCTCCCACCTGCCCCACAGGGAAGGTTGGCAGGTCCCAGGGGTCTTCACAGAACAGGGGGAGGGACTACTGGAGGGTGGGACCCAGCAGGAGCAGGGGGATGGGGTGGGGGTGGGGAGTGTTCAGGGCTTCCTGGCAGAGTGGCTCAGAGCCTGGGCACCTGGGTTCAGGGGGGTGGTTGAGGGTCTCTTGGACACTGGAGCAGGGAGCACTGGGTTCCCTGTGGGGGATTGGGAGCCCAAATGTCTGGGTTCCCTGGGCATGGGGGTGCCTTGATTCCCTAGGAGAAGGGATCATCCAGACACCTGGATTCTCAAGGCTGGGGGTGGGGGACTTGGACACCTGGGTTCCAGAGGCGTGGAGGGAGGGGGCTTGGCTGCTGGGTCTGAGAGAGAGAGAGGGGTTGCCAGAGTTCCCTAGGAGGACGGGTTGCATGGATGCCTGAGTTTCCAGGGCTGGGGGGAGAGGTCTCAGATGCCCAGGTTCATAGGGCATGAAGCTGGGATGCCTGAGTTCCCAGGCATGGGGATGCCTGGATGTCTGGGGTGCTGCGGGGGCTGAGGGCTCAGATACCTGGGTTCCTGAGGGGGAAGGGTCACCCAGACGCCTGGGTTCCCAGACTGCGGGAAGGGGGACTTGGCTGCCTGGGTTCCCAGGGCATGGGGATGCTTGGACGCCTGTGATCCTGAGGGGGAGATGTTGCTGGGATGCCTAGGTTCCCGGGGCTGGTGGGCTCGGATGCCTGGGTTTCATACTCACCAATGCAGCAGCTTGGAGCGGAGCTGGCCCTGGCGCCGGTCAGACGCGCAGTGCAGGCACCACATCCCTGGCCCAGTGGGAGTCCCAGGGTTGTCCCAGGGATCTGAGCAGGGGCTGAGCCCCGAGCTGCCGCTACCACCAGAGTCGAGGGAGGAGCTACAGTCGCTGAAACCCCTCCCCAGGCCAGGCCCCAGACGCCTGGGTTCTCTCCCGGCTGCGGGAGGGGAGGGGGCCGAATAGAGAGCGGGGGGGTGGAGGGGAGGAGTGCAGAGGGCTCAGATGCCTGGGTTCGAGGGGAGCGGAGGGAAGTGGGGATTGGAGGCTTTGTGCCAGATGCGCATTTGTCCATAGAGGCCCCCTGCGAGCAACACGGGGGCCTAGCACACCACACATGCACAGGGAACTCAGGCATCCTGCTCGCACACACAGGCGGAACCCTGGTGTCTGGATGTCTCTCTCTCTCCACCCTCCTCCCCCACACACCACGAGCCCCCCCCCTGCCCCGCAGGCTTCCGGGTCTTTTGCATGCACACACACATGCGTGCACACACACACAGCCCAGGCATCTGGGTCTTACCCATATAGGGAACCCAGCTGTCTGGGTTACGCACGTACACGCGCACACTGGTGGTGTCCTGCTCACACGCCCCCCATGGTGCCCCCACAGCAGCACATGGACACACAGCTGCACATGGGTGTGCGAGCACCCACATGCAATACACGGGGTTCAAGAGCCAACATGGGGGAAGGGGGTTGCATGTGCTCTCACACATGCATGTACATGCATTTGCCCTACTATGCAGCTAGGCCAGGCTGCCCCCAACCCAATCACTGGGGTCCCCTCATGGACCACCAGGGAGTTGGTTGTCATGGAGATGGGGGGAGATGCAGGGTTGCCATGGGGATGGGAGGATGGATAGGTCCCCATGGCATTATAAGAAGTAGGGGGGGAATTATAAAGGATCCCCCAACCCACCTTGGCTGGTAAGGGAGGCCCAGACACCTGAGTTGTTTGGGAGTGGAATGTGGGCTGGAGAGGGGAGTCAGCGCTGAGGAGGGTCAGGAACCCAGATGTCTGGGTTCTTCCCCCCCACCCTGTGCACCCCAAAATAGCACAGCCAAGTAGAGCCTCTGTGTTGCTTTTGCTCTTGTGTCACCATGGCAACGCCTCCGGAATGGCATCCTCCTGGCGAGAACCCAGGAGTCCCAGCTCCCAGCCACCCCTGCTCTCACCCCCAGCCCCTACTCTCCTCCCAGAGAACCCAGGTGTCCAGGCTCCCAGCCTCTCCCCACCCAGGAAGCCTACACCTCTGCTTACAGCCATGCCAGTGTATCCCAGATGCCTGGGTTCTAGGGGGGGGGAGAGCAGGGAGGCTCAGAACATGGTCCCACCCTCTTTGGCCTGATTCCTATTGCCTCCCAGAATCCTTTGTGCCCCCACCTTCCCACAACCCTTTGCACACAGAGCCATTTCCCACAATCCTTTGCAACTCCCCTCCTCCCCCAGAGACCAGAGCCCCCTCCCATATACAGACTCGGTCCAGCCAGCCCAGTACCCACAGTATCAGCCCACACCTGGCCCAGTTCAGCCCAGTACCAGCCCCCTGCCCACTCCAGTCCAGTGCTCTCATTATCAGCCCCCACCAGTTCAGCCCAGCTCTCCCAACCACCTCCCCAACCCAATGTTCCATTCATTCAGTGTCTCTCTCCCAGTTCCTCCCAGTGGGCACATCTACACATGCATTAATGCACCATAATTATGGTGCATTAAGTTTAGTACCTATTGTAGTACCTGTAATAACAGGTACTAACTTCATACACCATAATTGGTGCTACTGTGCAGTAGCGCCAGCGCATGTCTTTTACATGACACTAATGTACAGTAGACTAATTTCTGGAGTCCAGAATTAGTTTACTGCACTTTTATTGTCTTGTGCCTGGCTCCATCCTGAACTAGCTCTCACTTCTCTTGGGAACCCCTCTCCCACCCACACAGTCTGAACTCTGAGGCTAGGATGCACCCAGGTCTAGTGTGGAGCAGCTGGGATCAGCTGGAATCTGTGCCCAGGGAAGACCGAGTTGCTGCACTCCCCTCCCGGAGACTCCAGACATCTGGACTCCCCCACTACCCTCCCAGAGAACCCAGGCATCCAGGCTCTGAGCTGAGGTTAACAGCTGTGCCTAGACCCCTGGAAGTGCTGCCAAATTTGTGATGAAGCCCATGCTGGCACCTTCTGCCCCAGGGAAGGCCCTGATGAACCCAGCTCTGGGGAAGAGCCACCAGGAAACAGCTAAGTATAAGTGCATGTGGGAAAGGCCAAGATGCACCTAGTTCTGGGGTGAAACAACTGGGGAATAGCTGAGTATAGTACCACAGAGGGGACCGAGATATGCCCAGCTCTGGAGTGAAACAGCTAGGAAGGCCTGAGTATAATAACACCACAGAAGGCCTTGAGATGTGCCCAGCTCCTGGGTGGAGCCACTGGGGAAGAGCTGAGTATAACACCACAGAGAGAAGGCCTGAAATATATCCAGCTCTGGGGTGGGGCTGCAAGGGAATGGCTGAGTATAATTCAGGGAAGGCTCAGATGTACCCAGCTCTGGGGTGGAACCACTGGGGAATGCCCGAGTATAACATTATAGACTAGTGGTTCTTAACCTATTTGCCATAGTGGGCCACACTAGCAGCTTTCAATGTGTTGTGTGGGCCACATCCACACAACTTACTTCCTGCATATCCATTTAAAAAATGTTTTGTATCTGTTATCTGACAGTAATGCAATATAAATCAGTATTCTGTAATATGTCTCATTT